TGGTTCCTTCTTCTCATTCCCACACTACTTCAGTTCAGGTTCTAATCTCACGTTTAGCTAATGCTAAATACTTAGGTATTTAGTTTCATCCAGTTTCATACTCCTTGGATTCATCTTCTTCATTATAGCCTAGATGGTTTTCTAAAAACACCACATTGATTGTGTCACTTCCTGTCAAAATCCTTCTGTAAGCCTATTTTACTGAGTTAGGATTAAAATACCTCAGTATGACAAAATAGGCCCTTTTAAACTCTCCATACTACCTCTTGTCAGCTTCCCCTCTCTCCAACTCTATACGTCAGCCAGAATTATCGTTCTCTGAAAACACAAATTAACTTGTGACCTCCATGGCTTTTCTGTCATGTGTCTGTCTGCCTATCATGCCCCAGAGCCTTAAACCTTCCCAGTTTTGCTTTCATATAATGTGTAACATCTTTTATTTGTTTGTTTGTTTATTATTCAAGTTAGTTAACATACAGTGCCATCTTGGCCTTAGGAACTGAACCCATTGATTCATCTCATATATGACACCCAGTGCTCATCCCAACAATTGCCCTCCTTAATACCTATTACTCATTTTACACACCCCCTCACCCACCTCTCCTTCCAGCAACCCTCAGTTTGTTCTCAGTATTTAAGACCCTCTTATTGTTTGCCTCACTCTCTCTTTTTACCTTATTTTTCCTCCCCTTCCCCTATGTTCATCTGTTGAGTTTCTCACATTCCACATATGAGTGAAATCATGATATCTGTCTTTCTCTGAGTGATTTATTTTGCTTAACATAATACCTTTCAGTTCCATCCATGTTGTTGCAAATGGCAAGACTTTATTCTTTTTCATCACGGAGTAGTACTCCATTGTATATATGTACTACAGTTTCTTTATCCATTCATCAGCCGATGGGCATTTGGGATCTTTTCATAATTTGGCTATTGGTTGATAGCCAATATCAACAAATTGGTTGATAATGGTTGATAGTACTGCTACAAACATCGTGCTCCTTCAAATCTGCATTTTTGTATCCTTCACAATTGCACCAAAAACCATAAAATACCTAGGAAAAAAATCTAACCAAAGACATAAAAAATCTGTACAGTGAAAACTATAGATGGCTTATGAAAGAAATTGAAAAAGACACAAAGAAATGGAAAACATTCCATGCTCATGGATTGGAAGAACAAACACTGTTAAAATGTCAATACTTCCCAAATAAATTTACACATTCAATGCAATCCTTACCAAAATAACACCAACATTCTTCACAGAGCTAGAAAAAAAACGATCTTAAAATTTGTATGGAGCCAAAAAAGGCCTTGAATAGCCAAAGTAATGTTGAAAAAGAAAACCAAAGCTGGAGGCATCACAACCTCAGATTTAAACCTATATTACAAAGCTGTAATCATTAAGACAGTATGGAATTGAGGCAAAAGCAGACACATAGATCAATGGAATAGAATAGAGAACCCAGAAATGGAACCACAAATATATGGCCAACTAATCTTTCAAAAGCAAAAGACAGTCTCTTTAGCAAACGGTGTTGGGAGAACTGAACAGCAACATGCAGAAGAATGAAATTGTTCTACTTTCTTACATCATACACAAAAATAAATTCAAAATGGATGAAAGGCCTAAATGTGAGACAGGAAGACATCAAAATCCTAGAGGAGAAAACAGGCAGAAACCTCTTTGAGGTTGGCCACAACAAGTTCTTACTGTCGCTGGAGGCAAGGGAAATAAAAGCAAGAATGAACTATTGAGACCTCATGAAGATAAAAAGCTTCTGCACAGCAAAGGAAACAATCAACAAAACCAAAAGGCAACCGACCAAATGAGAGAAGATATTTTCAAGAGACGTATCAAATAAAGGGTTAGAATCCAAAATGTATAAACACCCCAAAAATAAATAATCCAGTAAAGAAATGGGCAGAAGACATGAATAAACACTTTTCCAAAGAAGACATCCAGGTGGCTAACAAACACATGAAAAGATGCTCAACATTGCTCATCATCAGGGAAATACAAATCAAAACCACAATGAGATACCACCCCACTCTTGTCAGAATGGCTAAAATTAACACCTCAGGAAACAACAGACGTTGGCGAGGATGAGGAGAAAGGATAAATCTTTTGTACTGTTGGTTGGAATGCAAACTGGTGCAGCCGCTCTGGAAAACGGTATCCAGTTTCCTCAAAAAATTAAAAATAGCACTGCCCTATGACCCAGCAATATCACGACTAGGAATTTATAACATGGAGCATCTTAAAGTCAACTCAACTCAATGGCCACTTCCTCTCTCAAACCTCTCCAAATCTCCTCTTCCCCTACCAGAGAGAAGCAATGAACCTCTCCATTGTATCATGCACATGTTTCCATCATGGCATATATATCACAATTATTGCATACTTTTAAGTTTCCTCATAAACAAGGATCATATTATATTTGATATTATGTTGAAATATCATATTTGGCATCCTTTGCAATATGCCTGGAATAACATGACCATGAGCATAAGTTTTTAGAAAGAAGGTATGAGGACATTGTCTTTCACTTTTGCTTTTTATCTTCTTAATTGTTTTGCGTTTTTAAAAATGAACATAACTTTTATACTGAAAATCTGAAAATCTAGAAAATAAATGAGTATACATAATGTATTTTTATTGATTCTAAAAAAATTTTTTTTAAAAATTTCCAGTCATAATGGTGCCACAACATTATGCTGAATTGAAATCTTCTGCATTGCCGAAATATTCCCGGAGTGATTTTTGCTTTGCTATTTTTTTCTTCTTTTTTTAATATTTGTTTATTTTTGAGAGAAAGACAAACAGAGCTTGAGCTGGGGAGGGGCAGAGAGAAGAGGAAGTCACAGAATCCAAAGCAGGCTCCAGGCTCTGAGTTGTCAGCACAGAGCCCAATGCAGGTTTGAATTCACGAACCACAAGATCATGGCCTGAGCTGTAGCCGGACACTTAACCAACTGAGCCACCCACGTGCCCCACTTTGCTCTGTTATTTTTAATACTAAAATTATATTAGATCATTTTCTATCTAATTAGATCAGTTTCAATCATTTTCTATCAACCTTTGATAGTGACATTCCTTTAAATATTTGCATTATCACAAGGTAAAAACAAGGTATCATACATGAAGGGTAAGATAACTATTTTCAGAGGTTTGCCTTTAAGGCACTTCTTTGTAACCTCTACCCTTACTGTTTCAATTTCCCCTTGTAATGGAGAGGTTGCCAGATGTTTCACTGTGTTTTATCTTGCCCCACCTACCTCTCCACCCCGAGAGCTCAGCAGAATTTATTTGTACACCCTGTTCTTGATTATGCTGATCACTAACCTTTGTGAGTTTCTGGCTCTAGTTAAAGATGAAAAATGAAGTTATACACAAGCCACTTAAAACCACAGCCCTGAAAGCTGATTCTTCACAGGATTTGTAGGAGGAAAACATATCAGACCTTATTGCTCCTAGCCAGTGGCTACAGAAACTGACATCGCAAAATTGTCACTTTGCTTCACATCAGGGAGGCTAGAAGTCCCTGTATCTTCTTACAACTTAGTAGATATTTTGGTAGAAAGAAAAAATAAAGTCACATTAGTGAGTCTCAGGGTGGTGATCATTCAATGAATAGAAAGTGAATGGAAAGGTTTAATAGGAGAGTGGAAGAAACCCTCAAAGTTATTGGATAAAGGAGAAGTGGAAGAGAACAGTGGAAAAGTATGTATCCGGATTTACAGAAGCGAAGAAAACCTGAGTGTGGCCAAAAGAGAAAGACGTACTACAATATAGTCACTGAATAGGAATCTCTCTGATGGCGGAGTAACACAAATATGTTAAACAGAACACTTAGGAATTCTCAAGGAATGGAATATTGAAAGGAAACACACATTTTTGGTGTGTCTGCAATACGTGAAGGACTTTTTACATAACGTATCAACCTTATACCCCGGCCACCTTATAAAAAAGAAGTTTCATATACACAAGTGCTTAAAATAAGTCAAGGCACGTAATACTGTATACACATTTACTATCACTAGCATTTTATAAATGAAGGAACTGAGGCCCCAGAACACTTACGTAACTTGTCCAATGTCACAGACTGTAAGCAGCACAGCTGATAGAACCTGGTTCTGTATGCGTTATACTGTACTGAAAAATATATTTTGATTGCTATGTCACAAGGTGAATGATTGGAAATAGGAGCATAAGGTAGAAGCTAAATGCAACTAGAATTAAATATTTTTTGTAATTCAAATTCAATCATCTCAATAATATTCTGGTAGTAATTGATTTTTTTTTAATGTTTTATTTATTTCTATGAGAGAGAGAGAGAGAGACAGTGTGAGCAGGGGAGGGTCAGAGAGAGAGGGAGTCACAGACTGAAGCAGGCTCCAGGCTCTGAGCTGCTGATTGGATTTGACTTTCATAGGAAGCCAGGAAAAAGGAGGAATGCTGCATTAATTCTACATAAAGTCTAACCATTGTATACTGCACCTATTAGGTAAAAACAACACACCCTTAATGGGAAACCATTGTGCCCACAATAGAATCTTAGAAAAACAAACATCTTTGTCCATACCGTTTAATTTTTAAGATGTTCATATAGGTAACACGCAAGTTGTGGAACGTGCACAGTTACATGTAATTTTAAATCACAGAAACATTTTCTCTTGGCCTCATTTGGCACATTCCTTTTTTTAATTTTTTATTTTTATGTCTGTATTTTATTTTGAGAGACAGAGACGGAGAGCAAGCAGGGGAGGGACAGAGAGAAAGGGAGACACAGAATCCAAAGCAGGCTTGGAGCTGTCAGCACAGAGCCCTATCTGGGACTCGAACCCATGGACTGTGAGATCATGACCCGAGCCGAAATTGGACGCTTAACCGACTGAACCACCCACGTGCCCCTCATTTGGCACATTCCTAAGAGAGAGAGTTCATCTCATACATGGCTCAAGGGACTGGCCAATTGGGACTGTGGGAGGCAGAGTACCTTTGTGCCCAGGCTCCAGCTGCTGGATTGGAGAAGACGTTCGAGAATGCACACTCATGATGGTGTCCCCATCAGAATCCAGCATGTCCCTGGTGCTGCTGTACTTGGCCTGCATCTGGGTTCCCACAGGGGTGAGGCTCCACCGCAGTGTGATTGAACCCAAGCTGCGTGGCTTCTGTGAGCAGTACAGGAACTGCGGCACTGAAAGTTATTCCTGATGTTCTTCCCTCCCAGTGAGTAGCGGGGGAAGCCTCTGACTCCAGTTCCTGCCTGGAGAGGCCCAACCCTCTCCTGGGAACTTGGACTCTGCATGCCAAATTGCTCAGGCAGAGGGGAAATAGCGTGTGTGTTTTATTTGGGCGGTCTCCGTCTGAACAATTATTGAAGGGTTGCCCTTCTCAGATCCCTTTGGTTCATTTATTTTATTTTATTTTACAAATAGTTTATTGTCAAATTAGTTTCCACATAACACCCAGTGCTCATCCCCACAAGTGCCCTCCTCCATGCCCATCCCCCCTCCCCCCCACATCCATCAGTCCTCAGTTTTTGTCAGCATTCAAGAGTCTCTCATGGTTTGCCTCTCTCCCTTTCCCCCACCATTTCCGCCCTTCTTCTCCCCCTTGGTCCTCTGTTAAGTTCCTCCTAATCCTCCTATACGTGCACACATATGGTGTCTGTCCTTCTCTGCCTGACTTATTTCGCTCAGCATAACACCCTCAAGGTCCATCCATGTTGCTACACATGGCCAGATTTCATTGTTTCTCATTGCCATGTAGTATTCCATGGTATAGATAAACCACATCTTCTTGATCCATTCATCTGTTGATGGACACTTAGGCTCTTTCCATGTTTTAGCTATTGTGGAGAGTGCTGCTATGAACATTGGGGTACATGTGCTCCTATGCCTCAGCATTTCTGTATCCCTTGGGTAAATTCCTAGCAGTGCTATTGCTGGGTCATAAGGGAGTTCTATTGTTAGTTTCCTGAGGAACCTCCACACTGTTTTCCAGAGGGGCTGTACCAGTTTACATTCCCACCAACAGTGTAGGAGGGTGCCCGTTTCTCCACATCCTCGCCAGCATCTAGAGTTCTCTGATTTGCTCATTTTAGCCACTCTGACTGGCGTGAGGTGGTATCTCAGTGTGGTTTTGATTTGTATTTCCCTGATGAGGAGGGATGCTGAGCATCGTTTCATGTGTCTGTTGGCCATCTGGATGTCCTCTTTGGAGAAGTGTCTGTTCATGTCTTCTGCCCATTTCTTCACTGGGTTGTTTGTTTTTCGGGCGTGTAGTTTGGTGAGTTCCTTATAGATTCTGGATATTAACCCTTTATCTGATATGTCATTTGCAACTATCTTTTCCCATTCCGTTGGTTGCCTATTAATTTTCTGGGTTGTTTCCTTGGCTGTGCAGAAGCTTTTAATCTTGATGAGGTCCCAACAGTTTATTTTTGCTCTTGATTCCCTTGCTTTTGGGGATGTGTCAAGTAAGAAGTTGCTGCGGTGGAGGTCAAGGAGGTTGTTTCCTGCTTTCTCCTCTAGGGTGTTGATAGTTTCCTGTCTCACGTTCAGGTCCTTTATCCATTTTGAGTTGATTTTTGTGCATGGTGTGAGAAAATGATCTAGTTTCATTCTTCTGCATGTTGCTGTCCAGTTCTCCCAACACCATCTGTTAAAAAGGCTGTCTTTTTTCCATTGGATATTCTTTCCTGCTTTGTCAAAGATCAGTTGGCTGTATACTTTTGGGTCCACTTCTGAGTTCTCAATTCTGTTCCATTGGTCTATGTGTCTGTTTTTGTGCCAATACCATACTGTCTTGAGGATGACAGCTTTGTAGTAGAGGCTGAAGTCTGGGATGGTGATACCTCCCGTTTTGGTTTTATTTTTCAGTATTACTTTGGCTATTCGGGGTCTTTTGTGGTTCCATACAAATTTTTGGATAGTTTGTTCTAGTTTTGAGAAGTATGCTGGTGCAATTTTGATTGGAATTGCATTGAATGTGTAGAGTGCTTTAGGTAGTAATGACATCTTAACTATATTTATTCTTCCTATCCATGAGCATGGAATGTTTTTCCATTTCTTTGTGTCTTCTTCAATTTCCTTCATAAGTTTTCTATAGTTTTCATCATACAGATCTCTTGTATCCTTGGTTAGGTTTATTCCGAGGTATTTTATGGTTTTTTGTGCAATTGTGAATGGGATCAGTTTCTTGATTTCTCTTTCTGTTGCTTCATTGTTGGTGTATAAAAATGCAACCGATTTCTGTACGTTGATTTTGTACCCTGCAACTTGGCTGAATTCTTGGATCAGTTCTAGTAGGCTTCTGGTGGAGTCTGTCGGGTTTTCGATGTAGAGTATCATGTCATCTGCGAAGAGTGAAAGTTTGACTTCCTCTTTGCCAATTCTGATGCCTTTGATTTCCTTTTGTTGTCTGATGGCTGATGCTAGGACTTCCAGCACTATGTTAAACAGCAGTGGTGTGAGTGGGTATCCCTGTCGTATTCCTGATCTCAGGGGGAAAGCTCTCGGTTTTTCGCAGTTGAGGATGATGTTAGCTGAAGGTTTGTCATAGATGGCTTTGATGATGTTTAAGTAGGTTCCTTCTATCCCACCTTTCTCTAGAGTCTTTATTAAGAAGGGATGCTGTATTTTGTCAAATGCTTTTTCTCCATCTATCGACAGGATCATATGTTTTTATCTTTTCTTTTGTTGATGTGATGTATCACATTGATTGATTTGTGAATGTTGAACCAGCCCTGTAACCCAGGAATGAATCCCATTTGATCTTGGTGGATAATTCTTTTTATGTGCTGTTGAATTCGATTTGCAAGGATCTTGTTGAGAATTTTTGCATCCGTATTCATCAAGGATATTGGCCTGTAGTTCTCTTTTTTTGCTGGGTCTCTGTCTGGCTTGGGAATCAGAGTGATGCTGGTTTCATAAAATGAGTCTGGGAGTTTTCCTTCACTTTCTATTTTTTGGAATAGCTTGAGAAGAATGGGTATTAATTCTGTTTTAAACGTCTGGTAGAATTCCCCGGGGAAGCCATCTGGTCCTGGGCTCTTATTTGTTGGGAGATTTTGATCACTTATTTGATTTCCTCACTAGTTATGGGTCTGTTCAGATTTCCTACCTACACCCGTGTGAATTTTGGTAGTGGGTGTGCGTTTAGGAATTTGTCCATTTCTTCTAAGTTGTCCAATTTGTTGGCATATAATTTTTCATAGTATTCCTTGATAATTGCCTGTATTTCTGAGGGGTTGGTTGTAATAATTCCATTTTCATTCATGATTTTGTCTATTTGGGTGCTCTCTCTTTTACTTTTGAGAAGCCTGGCTAGAGGTTTGTCATTTTTGTTTATTTTTTCAAAAAACCAACTCTTGGTTTCATTGTTCTGTTCAATTATTTCTTTGGTCTCTATGTTGTTTATTTCTGCTCTGATTTTTACTATTTCTCTTCTTCTACGGTGTTTAGGGCTATCTTGTTGCTCTGCCTCTAGTTCCTTTAGGCGAGCTAGATTTTGGACTTGCGCTTTTTTTAGTTTCTTGAAATAGGCCTGGAGTGCAATGTACTTTCCTCTTAGGACTGCGTTAGCCGCATCCCACAGATTTTGGATTGTTGTGTTTTCATTTTCGTTTGTTTCCATATATTTTTAATTTCATCCCTAATTGCCTGTATGTCTCATTCATTCTTTAGTAGGGTGGTCTTTAACCTCCATGTTTTTTGGGGTTTTCCAGGCTTCCACCTGTGATTGATTTCAAGTTTCAAAGCATTATGATCTGAGAGTGTGCATGGTATGATCTCGATTCTTTTATATTTATTGAGGGCTGCTTTATGTCCCAGTATGTGATCTATCTTGGAGAATGTGCCATGCGCACATGAGAAGAAAGTAAATTCCTTGGCCTCATGATGTAGAGTTCTAAATATCTCTCTCAGATCCATCTGGTCCAAAGTGTCTTTCAAGTCCCTTATTTCTTTAGTGATTTTCTGTCTGGTTGACCTATCCATTGCTGTAAGTGGAGTATTGAAGTCCCCTGCTATTAGCACATTCTTATCTATGAGCCTGTTTTTCTTTGTGATTAATTGTTTTATATATTTAGGTGCTCCCATATTCGGTGCGTAGACATTTATGATTGTTAGTTCTTCCTGATGGATAGACCCTATAACTATTATGTAATGCCTTTCTTCATCTCTTGTTATTGTCTTTAATTTAAAGTCCAGTTTGTATGATATAAGTATAGCTACTCCAGCTTTCTTTTGATTTCCAGTAGCATGATATATATTTCTCCATCCCCTTACTTTTAATCTGAAGCTATCTTCCAGTCTAAAATTTGTTTCTTGTAGACAACATATAGATGGATTTTGATTTTTATCCATTCTACTACCCTATATCTTTTGATTGGAGCATTCAGCCCATTTACATTCAGTGTTATTATTGAAATATGTGGGTTTAGAGTCTTTGTGTCCTTTGTGGAGTTCATGCTTGTGGTGGTGTCTCTGGTATCTTTGTTCCTTGCAACCTTTCCTCAGAACGTCTCCCTCAGGATTTCTTGTAAGTCTGCCTACGTGGTGACAAATTCTTTCAATTTCTGTTTATTTGGAAAGGTTTTTATCTCTCCTTCTATTTTGAATGACAGGCTTGCTGGGTAGGAGATTCTTGATTGCATAGTTTTTCTGTTCATCACATTGAAGATTTCCTGCCATTCCTTTCTGGCCTGCCACGTTTCAGTAGATAGGTCTGTCACCACTCTGATAGGTTTCCCTTTGTATGTTAGGGCCCTTTTCTCCCTACTTGCTTTCAAAATTTTCTCTTTGTCCTTATATTTTGCCATTTTTACTATGATATGCCTTTCAGAAGGTCAATTCAGATTACGTCTGAGGGGGTGGCCTCTGAGCCTCTTGTATTTCAACGTTTACTTCTTTTCCCAGGTCGGGGAAGTTCTCTGCTATAATTTGTTCCAGGACTCCTTCAGCACCTTTCCCCCTCTCTTCCACTTCTGGGATTCCTAGGATACGGATATTGTTACGTTTGACCGTGTTGCTGAGCTCTCGAACTCTTCTTTCATGTTCCTGGATCAGTTTGTCTCTTTTTTTGTTAGCTTCTTGTTTTTCTATAATGGTGTCTTCTAAATCACTTATTCTCCTTTCTGCCTCTTCAACCCGTGCACTGGAGGCCTCTAATTTATTAT